TTGTTCTGTACCTGCATCACGTTCCATTGTCTGCAGTTCTGACTGGGCTGTTGCAGTTCACTGTGCAATTCACTCGGAACATTAAAATGACAGAATAATTGAAATTTTGGGTTGATGTCTCTCTCTCTCTCTAGAAAACCACATTAGTCAAGAAAAATTATCTAAGTGATGTTATTTACTGTTTTTTAACACGTGCAGGCCCCTGCGCCTTCAATAAGACACCCAGCAAGCATTAAAAGCTGCTTTTGCCGGTGCTGTAGAGCAGATGCATCCTATTAAAGCCATTAATTCAGCCACTAAAGCCAAAGTACTGCAATCCAGAGCATCAACCCAGCACACACAGCAACCCAGCACCTGCCAAAATCCCACCACAGTGACCCCCACTGCCGGGGCCAGGGGGACTGGGCTCCAACCCTGCCAAGGGGTTACACAAAAGCTGAGTGCCCACCCACAAAACTTGTTCAAACATCATGTCTCCTAAACAGAAACATTCCTCTGAATTAAACTCTTCCACCTCACAAAAGCAGCTCAATCGTAAATGAGGGAGCTGAGGAGGAAGAGATGAACAAACACAGAACACCCGAATCGCACTTGGGGAAATTCTGTCACCCTAAGGAAGGTCCCAAATTCCCAGGTGAGATTTGGTTTCTTACAGAAGATTGTATAGATTTGGATAAAAATCAGAAACTCTCTGACTAGACACGAGGCCTGTTCAATGAGATGTTCTGTTTACACTCGTCCAAAACCAGGTTTCTCCTCAGTCCCTCAGCCAGGCACCATCCCCACCGTGCAGCAAACACCGTGCTGGGAACTCGAGCACCCCAAAACCTCCTCACTGGATCAAGCAGAGCTGCCTTGCCAGTGCTGGAATGAACCAGATACATTCCTACTGCATCTCCAGGAAGCTCCAGTCGTGCACACATCCCTCACCTTCAGATCTGGCAGATCTGTATTCCAGGCGTGCTGCTTTGGAACAAGAACACAAATCACCTGTTCTGTCAAAACGAGCTCTCCTGGTCATCCTTGCACTCCATGGAAATGCACTAATCCCATTAAAATGCAATAATCCCATTATTTAGCTAGGCATGTACTTTCAAATAAAATGAAATTTAAAAAAAAAAAAAATGCACAAAGCTCGAGCTCTGCAGATCCACCCTCGTGCCTCCAAACCACAACACCGGTGAAGGCAACTATTTACTGCTAAAACAGGGGAGCAAAGACAGGAGGAAAACAGGAAAACAGAGAAAACACACCATATAGAAAATGTCAAATATGTCAAAACATTCATGAATACCAACATCTCCCTCTGCACCGTCCCCAGCTGCAAAGGTTACTTAGGGCTAACGTTTCAGCAAGTGCAGATTATGCAGCGCTGGGTTTACTTATACATAAAAAAACCAGCTACAGGTGCATCTGAAGTGCCTTTTGCATGCAGCCAGCCCGGGGATTTCTCCCACTGAAGGAAAGCCAGGAGGGCAAAAATCACATAAAACATGAATTTGCCAGCTCTGACTACACCCCAGACCTAAATTCCCCCTGGCTGCTCCCGGTGTTCGTGACACGTGCAACGAGGATAATCAGGGAAAGGACTAAAAGCAAGTGTTGCCGATTGCAACCCCAAACTAATAAAGCTCCTGCACAGGTCTCGTGCCTGCAGCAATTCATCTCCGGGAAAGGCGGGTTCGGAACACGGCGTGACACTTCCCTGTCCCCAAGTCACTGACGGAGAATTATATGGGAATTCTATCAGCCCGGTTTTATGGGACTGGGAGCACAACACGCCCAGGACAACGTGGCATCGTCCAGGCCCTCGGACAAACGGAGCTGAAATTAAATGTCACAAGTGGAACACGACAGACTGTGCGAGCAAACACCCGACCTGGATCCGCCCCAGTTCGCCTGTCAGGTTTGGAAATCTTGGCATGTTTGGGAAAATTGTGCCTTGGTGTAACCTCCTCATCCATCAGCACCAGGAGAAGAAAGGTGCCCTGCTCTGCCTCAGCAGTGAGACCCTCCCTGGCTGAGGCTTCAGTGGGAACACGAGTGTGACTCAGACAGAGCAAGCAGGCTCCATTCTCACACATCAGTGCAGCAGAGGAGCGAGTCTGTAGAAAACAGTGCAATTGTACGAGCAAAAAAAGTTGGGTTCAAATCATCCCAGTGGGCTGATGACAAACCACAGAACCAACCTCCCCAGGGAACAAACCAGGATGGATCTGGCTGCTCCCCACACCAGCCCAGCAGAACGAGCAGTAACAAATTCCAGCAGCAGCACAGAGCTAAAATAATTAAGATAACTATTGATCTGGAATATTGCAAGCCTAGAGAAGTGAAATCTTTTAATAAATCCTCCCATTGATACCACCAGTTAAAAATCATTCCTTCAGCTCCACATTCTGCTTCGAGCTCCCAACTCCAAACATTTTTCTGAATGTCTCTATACAGTGCTCAGTGCTTCTTCCCTGCTTCCTTACTGTCCTTCCCTGAGCCTGCAGAACGGGGAAAGCAGCGGACCCAGGGAGCACAGAGGCTCCAGCAGCCCTTCCCTCTCCAGCCTGCCCTTTAAACAAGCCCCCCTGGGCCCCTGGAAGCATTCCCTCCCGTGTTCCCTGCCCGAGCCCACCTGGATGCCCGTGCCCAGGCAGGCAGGGTCCCTCCAGCCGCTGATCCACACAGGGCTCCTCTGCCCGGCCACCCTCCGAGCCACGGACAGGGCAGGAGCCCACCCGGGGGGCTGAGGAGTGGGGGAAACACGGGGGAAGAGGGCATGGCTGGGGGTAAAAGCCGAGGCAGGTGCGAAATGGCTGCCTGGGAAGGATAAATCCTCCTCTCCCCAGGTGCAGAGGGTTAAACCTGTTAGAAAAGTTACTGCAGAAGACGCTGAGGCAAGTGGTGGAAGCAGCTGATTTTTGGGGAGAATTGGGAGCAGGTGTGGGCATATTTAAAGGGAGGTCGAGTTGTTAAATCCTTTCTATAAACAGGTGTGCTTTTTTTCCATTTAAAAACCCTTCTAAAGCATAGACATTTACACTTCTGTATCTACTCACACATATTTAGGGAATATCTATATTCCATATATATTATCTAGGTTGAAGTCACAACGACTCCAACCCCGTGTCCTTGGCAATCCCAAGCTCAAAACCCCGCTCAGCATGAATTAGGCAGCACCTAACTCTACCCCAGCCCCACTCGCTGCCCCCCGCACCCGCCTGCGGTGGGACCGACTCCTAATTCTTCTTAAAACTCTTTATTTTAGGAATTTTTCGCCTGGTCGAGCCGCAAAGCCCCTTCCCCGGGCAGAGTGGCTGCTCGGGGCTGTCCGCTCCGGAGGCGCAGGGGACCGGGGTGCGGGGGGTGCGGGGGTGCGGGGCGGCGGATCGCAGCCCCCCGGGGACGGGGGTGCGGCACCGGGGCCCTCCCCGCCCCTAACTCCGTGTCCGTGGGGGTTTTTTGGGTCGGGCACCGAGGGCCCCGTGGCAGAGAGCGGATTGAACCCGGCTGCGGCAGCGGAGTCCCCTCACCCTCCCACGGGCGTTACTGAGGCCAGCGGCTGAAGTTCTGGCCATTCCCGGACGAACCACCGGAGTTTCGGTTCCCGCTCCCTCTCCACGCGTGGGAGCCCCGCGAGCACATCCCGGTCCCCCTCCCGGAGCCGGGACCCCGCGGGGCTCTGGGCGCGGTGTCGGTCCCGCCGGTGCGGAGAAGCCCCCCCGCCCTGTCCCGCAGTCCGCGGGACCCCCGAGGCTCCGGGGGGCAGCGAATTCCCCCGGTATCCGCACCCCGCTTTGCTCCGCGCGGCCCGTCCTGCTCCCCCGAGCCCCTCCGCAGCCGCGGGGGCAAGTTTAGGGATTAAATGCCTTAACTAAAGGTGTTTTCCTGAGGAATTAGCCCCCCGATGAAGGGATGTGCCTGAGCAAACGCCGGCGCGGGAGGAGGGAGAGAGGGATGGATGTCGCAGGATGCGGGGTCCTGATGCGGGGTCTGGATGCGGCGGGGACCGACCGCGGAAAAACCCGGGAAAGGACCAACCTCCGAGCCGCGGGTTTTCCTCCTCTTCCTCCCGCGGCGCCGGCGGCACCGAACGGGAACGGCCCCGTCCATCGGCACTCCGGGATCGCCGCACGGGCAGAGGCTTTTGTCCCCTGGGTGCGGCGGGGGCTGCGGGGCAGCTTCGCACTTCGGCAGAAAGGAGACGAAATTCGATTCGTTTACATGTTTTATTGTTGTAAACATTAAAATTGTCTTTCTCAAAGAAAGAGTTCTCGGGAGAAAAAATAATAATAATAATAATTATAATAATTATAATCCGCGTTTCTAACTGTCTCACACCATATCAAAAAAAGGCAGCGACTTTCCCGTGTGCCGAACCGGGGTATACAAAGAAAAATACCACAGAATATGGCAATATTAAAAATATTACTCGAACATAAAATAATATATTAACCGACAATTTTTAGACATAAAAAAAAAACCCGGAACAAAACAAACCAAAAATTCAAAGTGCTCAGTAATTTCCAGGGAGTTATGTATAGTATAAGCACTCTGGAAACAGTCAAAAGCTGCTGCATGCAAGATCTGTTTAGCTTTAGACAACAAAATAATCAAGATATAAACTTCTTCTTTAATCAACATCAACAGTACATACAACACTTACAAACAAGGGGTGTCGGGCGGTGTTTACAAACACTATGTGTCCCTTTGGGGGGGGATCTCGAGGGGGTGACACTTGTTCCCACCTATTTTACAATTGAGAAAATGTTTGAAGCTTAGATAACTACCAGTCTTTATAAAAGCTACCAGACTACATAGTGTCTGAAATACTATTTATAGAATATAGACATTACTGAAATAGCAAGTGCCTATAACATTGTCACCCTGGAATCGTCATGCTTCCCTGGTATGGACAGATTGGGTTTTCTTGTCTTTATTCTCCCTTTTTTTTTTTTAATTATTTTTTTTTTCCCCCAAACACGTTTAGCTTCTATTTTTATTTTTTTTTCTAGAATTATTTTCCGTATTTCTTCAGAAATAGGCACGGAATAATTTTTTTTGAAAAGCCAAACCGCATCTGATAAATTTACAAGCCTTCTCCAATGCCACGCCACCCACGCAACGTTTGGGCTTTGGGTATATTACAGCTTTCTTTTACAGCAGAAAACTTTAGTCTTTAGGAGGGTGACGCTCGTGGGTCCCTCAACACTCGGTTTGTCACCGCGTGGGTCTGAGCTGCGCGCCCGGCGTCGCCAGATTGGGTCACCTTTCCACTCAGAAGTCCTTAATAATAAATTCATTTAGAAGCCGATAATAAAAAGTTTATACCATGGTATTTGTGTAGTCCATGAGCCGCATCCATGATGCCCCAGAGCCAAAATGCCCATCGCGTTCTGCCTGCAGGAGTTCGCAACACTGGCTGGGGTGGGAGCTGGCACCCAGGGGTGCTGCTCTGGGCCCAGACCAGCTCCCCTTCAGGCAGGTGGAGCTTCTCCTCGGGTCAGCGGAAGCGCACGGGGGAAGAGTCTTAAAAAGGTAAAGTGTCCAGGAAAAGTTTGTCGATTATTGCTGGCGGTGGCACCAAATCTTCCAGTTTCAGGTAGAAAATGCGCTGCAGCCCCTGCGTGCAAAGCGTGCGGAGTTCGGGGAGCTTCCCCAAGAGTTTGGACAAATAGTTGGGGCGATTCAGGCCCCCGTTATTGAAAGTCACATGGTCTTTGAGACAATTTACAATCTTGTTCTGAAGCTCTTCCACCCTCTTGGGTTCCTTCAGCCCGTGCCTCTCTGCAAAGAGAAGGGTGCGGGACGTTACAGGTCTGACACGGAGAAAGGCGGGCGAGGGAACAGGAGCAGGCAGGAAGGGGGGACACTGACCTGTCACCATGGCCAGGGCAGCGATGCAGGAGAAGGCAGAGATGTCGATGTTCATGTTTTGCAAGTTGGAGGAAAACTCCACAATGGAATCGATCCACTCCCCAAAGCCACGGACGCACTGCAACCGGTGCAGGACCACCCCGTTGCAGAAGATTAGCTTCCCCTCCACGGGGTTGGACCTGGAAGGAAGGGGACAACCCCAAAATGAACTGATGGATGAATGAGAGAGGGGGGAAAATTAGGTAGAAAGAAAAAAATGAAGGAAGAGGATGAGAGAAAAAAAGACAAGGGATTAAAAAAAAAAGAGAGAGAACGAGCAAAAGGAAGGAAGGGAGAGAAGGAAGGGAAAGAAGGAAGGGAGAGAAGGATAAAATAAAGAGAGTGAAAGAGAAAAAAGAAAAGAAGAGAAGAGGAAAGAAATTTTAAAAAAATAAGAAAGGAGAAGATGAGGAGAGAAGAGCTAAACAACTAATTACTTGAGGAGCAATAAATGAAGGATTTAAGAGGCACCTAATTACCGAGGAGTTAATAAAATGCAGATCAGTGGACCTTGAAAGGTTCTGGCTCCCTGGCCGCCCCTCACCTGTATGCCAACCGCAGCACGAACAGCTCCAGGAAGGCAGACTCGAAGAGCAGGTCCTGGTCCGTTTTGGGGAGGTCGGTGAAGCCGGGGATTTTTTCTGCCCACCCTCGGATGATCTCCATGGAGCCGGTCAGGAGATCATAGAACTGCTGGATGTGCTGGGTGTCGTCACCGCTCAGCTGGTAGTCGGGGTTAGCCTGGAACTGGAAATTCATTTTAAAAAGCCCTTAATGAGGTTCTCTAAAGTCTATAACCCGTGAAATTGCTCACCCCATCCCCGGCCAGGGAGCGGGCTGGGATAACAATTAAACCTCTCTCTGACCGGTGAGGAAATTAGATGTTCCGGGGCAATTAATTCGATTAGGAACGGCGCTCCGAGGCCGCCGCTCTGCGTGCGCGGGGGGCCCGATCCCGGGGCGGCGCTGGGGCCGGCGGGGCTGAGCCGAGCCCCGGGACCGGCGGGGCTGAGCCGAGCCCCGGGACCGGCGGGGCTGAGCCGAGCCCTCGGTGCCGGCGGGGCTGAGCCGAGCCCCGGGACCGGCGGGGCTGAGCCGAGCCCTCGGTGCCGGCGGGGCTGAGCCGAGCCCTCGGTGCCGGCGGGGCTGAGCCGAGCCCCGGGACCGGCGGGGCTGAGCCGAGCCCTCGGTGCCGGCGGGGCTGAGCCGAGCCCCGGCCGCCCGGCAGCGCTGCGGTGCCGGTGCGGGTGCGGTGCGGCGACGGCCCCGGCGGGGCGGGCAGAGCTCCGAGCTCCGAGCCCCGGCTCTCCCCCCGCAGCGGCCGCGGGGCCGCCGGCCCCCCCTCCCCGGGCGGCGGCGGCGGGGTCCCTCCGCGAGCTCGGTGCCGCTTACCCGGGAATAGTCCAGGCTGGTCATAGCCGGGTTGGAGTCGACATGGGCTCTCACCAGCGCACTGATCAGACTCACCGGGGGAGAGGGGGGAGAGGGCTCCTGGGGGCTCTTCGGTTTGGACGGCAAGCGGCCCCGCCGGCCTTTTAGGCTGTCTGTGCGCACCACTGCAAGAGAGAGCGGGGTCAGCGAGGCCCGCGGGGAGCGCTCGGGGCGGGCGGGCGGACGGACGGACGGACACTCACCCTCCTTGACCATGCCGACGGCCAGGCACTTCTGGAAGCGGCAGTACTGGCAGCGGTTGCGCCGGCGCTTGTCCACCGGGCAGTTCTTGTTGGCCAGACACACGTACTTGGCGTTCTTCTGCACCGTGCGCTGCGGGACGGGGCGGGACGGGCGGGCTGAGCGGTCGGACGGGGCTGCGGGCCCCGATCCCGCTCCCGCACCGCCGCCACCGCCGCTCCCGCCTTTATTTTCTTATCCCCTGTTTTCCCCTCGATTTTCTTTTCCCCTTTCCCCCTGTATTTTCTTTTCAGTTTTTGCCTTTATTTTCTCCCCTTTACCCCCTTATTTTGTTTTCCCGGTTTTCCTTTTCCCCCTTTATATTCTTTTCCCTTTTCCTTTTTATTTCCTTTTCCATTTTACCCTTTATTTTCTTTTCCCTTTTCCCTTTTATTTTCTTTTCCTTTTTTTTTTCTACTTTTATCTTTATTTTCTTCCTCCTTTTCTATCTTTATTTCCCTTCCCCTTTTTTCCCTTTCTTTTTCATTTTTTAAAATTTCCTTTTCCATTTTTCCTTTATTTCCTTTCCCCTTTATTCTTCCCTTTTTTCTTCTCACCTTGTAAAATTTATTTTCTTTTCCTTTTTCTTCCTTTATTTCCCTTTCCCCCTTAATTTCTTTTCCCTTTTCCCCCTCCATTTCCTTTTTCCCCCCTTCATTTCCTTTTCCCTTTTCTCTCTTCCCCCCACCCCTTTCTTTTCCTCTCTTTTTTTTTTTTCCTGGGCATTTAACAGGAGCAAATTGACAGCGTTAACATCCGAGGTAACCTCGCAGCTCCTGGCCGTGTTTTATATGCCAAGAAGAGGGAAGGAGACGCTCGGTAAATACAAATCCGTGGGCATTCATATTATTTACATTCCTTGGAGACCTTCTCTATTTAAAATGATAAGATTATTCAATCAGGATGGTGAAATAAAGAGATCACTTAATTTTACCACAGGGAATTCTGTTCCACATGGTTAGCTCAGACGCAGTTCTCTGTCCTAACCGATTTCCATCTGCGGGCTCCTCGCCCCGCCGGGTCCCCACTGCCCGACACCCTGCCTGCACCCTGCCCGTGCCCTGCCTGCATGCTGCCTGCCCGCTGTCCTGCACCTTGTCCCTGCTCTGCCTGCTCCCTGCCTGCCCGCTGTCCTGCACCTTGTCCCTGCTCTGCCTGCTCCCTGACTGCCCGCTGTCCCGGTCCCTGCCTGCCCGCTGTCCCGGTCCCTGCCTGCCCGCTGTCCCGGTCCCTGCCTGCCCGCTGTCCCGCACCCTGCCTGCCCGCTGTCCCGCTCCCTGCCTGCCCGCTGTCCCGCACCCTGCCTGCCCGCTGTCCCGGTCCCTGCCTGCCCGCTGTCCCGGTCCCTGCCCTCCCTGCCTGCCCC